CTGTGCTAGTCATCCCTAATTTAGCAGTGTAAGACTAGAGGGAAGGCAGCTAGTCATCCCCACCCACCGCCTACTCTTGGGCTACTCTTTTACCAACGAACAGTGGGATTGACCGTCACATTATAACGCCCCCACGGCTGAAAGGGTGAGCATGTTTGGTGTGACAGGGGACTCGAACCTGCAACCCGCAGATTGCGAGTCGAGCTCCCTAACCACCTGGCCATGCCGGGCCCAAACAAGTAAAGTAAACAGTTCGACTTTTGAAAGACTTCTTGCTACATTTATTTTATGTCTTCTATAATAGCTAGTAATCAAAGAAGCTTTTCTTTTTCTTCACACTAGCAAACAAAAAATTATCACTTTACAAAAATAAAACATTATCAACTAGGTACCAGTGATTTTGATTTCAAGCAATAACATTATCTTTTAAATGTTTGACAATTTGGTGGTCATTACATCTACTGTAACAAAGAAATTAGCTCTACCCGTGAAAAATAAAATACCCAAAGTTCCCATGCTTTTTAATCCAAAAGTGTTTCTCATTTCCTATTCAAAATTTTCCATTTACTGTCTCACAATCATAACAAATGCATACAAAGTCAATACACATTACCCATGCTAGGTAACCAAAGTGTACCACTGGTAATGATGGCCATAGAAGTAATGATTACTTTTCTAATGGATAAAAAAATCATTCCATGTCTGTTTTCACTAAGCAATAAAAGACTTTAAGAAAGGTTTGTTAGTTTTTAATTCAATTGGTGAGTTAAAAGCTTGATTTATTTTCACTAAGTTTTCCTACACAGTCTTAGTAGTGGTTTCTAAGTATGTTCCAATAATTTATTATAACTCTATTTTGATGATGAACAAAGCTGCAAGAATGTTAAGAAAAATCTCTTCCTCTTCTACCTGAAGAAACCTGGTGAGCATCAGCATTAAGACGTGAATTTTGTTTTCTCTGGACATCATCTACTTTGTCTTCATTAGTTATGTCTGGGCTACCAGTTCCAACAGAGCCAGCACTTATTCCATCACCATTATTGTAAAGTGGACAAGATGATTGCTGTTCTTCATAAATGGCAATTATCTAAACAAACAATCTTATATGAAATATATGAATGTATTAATAAGTTGAACAGAAATCTCTTATCAAGTCCCACTGCCTTAAAATTAACTGATGACATCACACACACTCATAGCTTATCAAACTATCTTGTAGCTTTTGTTAATTAGTCCAGCTTTAATCTTGTATTTCAGAGAAATTTAGACTTAATCAATGATTATGTTTCTCAAATGCTATTTTCAAATAATTACTGAAATATAAAACACTTAATAGCAATTTTTTTTTTATTTATTTTGCGCAAAGCTACACGAAGGCTATCTGTGCTAGGCGTTCCTAATTTA